GTGCTAAATATCAACATGCTTTATTTTACATGATGTATTTGTTTTGATAGTGTGTTTTATATGATACATTTTTTTATAGTTCGGACAGAACCATTGAAGTCTTGCGACGAATGCAGAAGATAATCTTTCAGTTGTCGTATGAAATGGAGAGAAATGCAACGGGTAAGCTTCATTTGAAAATATATTCATATAAATTAATCATATTTTTATTTTTAATATACAATTGATTTTATTATAAATTTTATTTCATGAACAAGAGATATTTCATATTTGTCCATATTTGATAGATTGTTTGTTTAGGATGCTCATGAACAAATTTAAGGTTTGCTTGTTCAATAGATTGTTTACTAAACATGTTCACGAACATAGCTCATTAAGACTTGTTTGTTTAAAGCTCGATAAGCATTAAACGAACGAACATGAACCAAATATGACACCCTTAATTTAAATGAATCAAATATGAACACAAATAATAAAGCACGAATGAAACACGAACCAAACTTGAACAAGCTAATGATAATATGAACACTCACATGCTCGGCTCGGTTTGTTTGCAGCCTTAGCCGCAATCCATACAAAACTAAAACTGAACTCTCCATTTCTTCCTATACAGCAACCGTTATTTGTCCTTTTGGGCGTCTTTAAGGAATAAAATAACGATAAAGTTATTCGTTTTATTATTGCATTGCATGTGAATTATTTCCATCGCACACGATTTGTATTTAGTGCAAGAAAAGACAATTCACTGTCACAATTCCTTAAAAGCATAAAATTAATATGTATCTATTAATGCTGTAAGATATACAGTACCACTCTAAATTATCGAATTAAACAAATTGCTGCATAACAAAATGATTTCATTTTAAGTGATTGAAAGGTGATAGAAGTAAGTTTATTTCAAAGATCTCACGTCATTGATTTCTGATCTGGGTGAGATAAATTTTCATTCGAATACATATATCATTGATTTTTAATCCGGGCAGATTTTTTTTTATTTGAAGACCTCAGACCGTCTTATCTTAGATCCGGCCAAGATTATTTTAATTCGAAGACCCTATGCCGTCGACTTTATATCCAGGTAGGAAGAAATTAAGGTAATTGTCGTCCTGATTTCTCCCTCAGTAGGGAGAGGACGTCGGGAGGCTGTCAAAATTTCTTGGACAATGACTTTAAAGTTATGGGAGAATAGTTCAAAATCTAAGAGCAGTTGATTTGAAAATGATCATGTTTTAAAATCAAATTTTAATAAACTAATTTATTTATTTAATTAATTGAATTTCAAATATAAGTCAAAATTAAATTGATTAATTAATTAAATTTAAAATTTAATTTTATTAATTAATTTAAAATTATAATAAAATTTTGTTAGTTAATTAAAAATAATTAACCATTTAATTTCAAATTTAAAGTGGAAATTTAATTTAATAAGTTAAAAAATCTATTTTAAAATAATTATTATTTAATTGAGTGATTAATTAATCAATTAATTAAATATTAATTAATTAAATTATATTGATTATAAAAAAAAGTTGAGAGAGCCACTAGTAAATTTTTCTTAAAAAAAGGGAAAGAAAAGAAAATATTATTTTCCACTAACCATAGGGTCTAGCTTGGTCAATTTGACCAAGTTAACTCTTTGGGCTCGGGTCTGGGCAAAATCGAGGTCAACACCAGTATTCAATATCTTTCAAAAGAAAATAGTAAGCCCAACCTTAGGGGAAAGTTTTAGGTAAAATTGATCCAATCCCCTAACCCCCAATTAAAATACCGGCCACTTCTAATAGAAGCCGTAAGTCCGACCTATGAGGAAAATGTTTAGGTGATAACACAAACCTAAACCCCTCACTTAGGCATCCTAGTCTATATGGCTTGGTTGTAAGACCTATCACTACAGCCACTTAGCTCACCAAGGCTAAGTCGTAAGACCTATCATTAGACAACTTTTAAAGAAGCAATAAGACCTACCCAACTGAAATCTTCAAGCTACCCTTAGTAAAGGTCGTAAGCCCCATTAACTGGGTTACTTTCTAAAGAAAGGCGAAAGAAATAAGTCCCAACTCAAATCTAACACAGGGATATCCCTTGTCAATAAAGCAAGGTAAACAACCTCAAGAGAGAATTTCATCTTTAAATAATACTTTGAAATACAATAATTATTATACTAATCTGATGTTGAAAGCATGTGAAATTTCTATCGTAAGATTCCAAACAATCAAATTTAAGAATATGAGCATCTTAGTCTAAAGGATTAAGTTGTAAGATCCACTTTTTAGATTACTTCCTAAGGGGAGTCATAAGACCTACCTAAACAATTAAAACCTTCGGGCAGCCTTGCGATAGAGTTAGGTTGTAAAACTCATCTTTGGGCAACTCATAATTAGAGCAGTAAGCCTCATCTAAATCAAATCCCTATGCTACTTTCTATGAAAGCTATAAGCCCCAACCTAAATCTGAATACCTGAGCTACTTCCTAAAGAAGCATAAGACCCTCTCTAATCCAAACTTCAAGGTTACTTCTAAATGAAGTCATAAATTCCAAACTAAATTACTTTTTTGGTTTTCTAATAGATGTAAATTCCAAAACACTAAATAAAATTAAAACTCAAATCCCACCACTTTAGTCCTCTCGAGATCCCTAAGAAGAGGTAACCCATGACTACTAATTAGATTCTCTGGATACTTTGGTCAATGATTGTTAGTGTTGGTAGACTGAAATCTATGGTATACATGGGATGACGGAATCATGAGATCTTGATTAGGTTTACCTCCATTTTCCCCACTATTGAGACTAAAAATATTTAAAATTTATTCATCCTTAATCGAGAGTTCTCTCTTATGTGTTAAGAAGGGTAATTAACTATAAGTGTTTATGCTCAGAGAAAGTAAGGACCCCAGATATTTGAACCCTGATACTATCCTCAGGAGAAATTTGGTTAATTACAATCTAACTTAAGGGAAATTTAATCATATAGCTACAAAGCAGGATTTAAGCATTCGTGCTATTTTTTCTTGAGCCAATATAGAATGAGATCTAGCGAAGGGTAGTTGTGAGATATTTATAAGGTTGCCCAAAGTGAGAATCTCCTTGTCTTTTTTAAGTTTCTATCCAACTACCTTGGAGGCTCTTGAAAGAAGATATTTAAGATTAGATCAAGGTTCTCTTCCTTGATCAGAAGAGTGATAAAGCATGTGACCGTACACTGCCATCACTTGAAGAGTGTAAAAGACAACGATTCTCTGATGCACCGGGTTGGTGAAAGAGAGTTTGTAAAAGCTTCTTCGTCTTGCTATGGGGGCAAAATGAGAGTCACTATTGTTTAGTATAATACATGGAGAATGAGTCTATAGGGAGTGGATGCAGGTCAACTTGGACCGATCCACTATAAAATTTGGTGTTGTTCTATTGTCTTTAATTTTTCCTGCATTTTAATTTTTTTGCATTCAAAATTTTATGGTTGAAAAATCCTCTGTGATAATCATTTCTATAAACAACGGCATGTTTTAGGATTAGTGATTTAATTTTCTAAAAAGTTTACAAAAATCCAAGAATTTTTTTTTATAACCAATTCACCTCCTCTTGGTTAGCCTTATGACAGTTCTATTAGGTCTAACAACCTACATGAACTTTCAAAAACCACGGGACCCCGCCCAATCAAAATGAATCCATTAGTATTTGAATAGATTACAAATGATTGATTTATCATTGCATTTAGATTAAAATAATCAGATGTCAGGTAAAAATCTAGCGACGAATAGGGGATGAACAAAAGTCCGACAATATTTAGTGGTCGGGCGTAAATCTGGAGTTAGTTGGTGGCGGAGTTGAAGTCCGACGATAGTTGGAGTCTGGGCTAAAATCCAACGAAAGTCCGACGATGGTCATTGGTTGGGCGGTGATTAAGGAGGTGTTTGGTGGCAAGAAAACTTTGATTTCTCTTCCTTGCTTCCCCCTTTCAAGGAAGAATGATGGATTGTTTTATAGATTTTTTGGGAGTGACATGACTAGTAAATAGGGAGAATATCATGTGAATCTTAAGAGTGTTTCGAATGGATGGCCGATATCGACTTCCTTGATAATGGATCGTTTATCGAGTATTTGAGTGTCTTAATGATATTAGATTTCAACGATCTTGTGCTCGTTGGACTCATCTCGTTGAGCCGCTTGATTCGACTATAAGCATGCCACATTTGGAAATTATTTGGTTGTCCAATTTATGATATGAACCTTTCAAATGCGCTTCAAGTTTTTGATTTGGATCAAATTCAATGTTGTTGGGTTCATCTTTTCGAGACTTCAGTTCGACTATAAGTTTGATGAAATTAGAATTCAAATAGTCTCAAATTTAATTTTAAGTTTTAATTCATATTTACATTGAGATTTATGCTCAATCATAAAATTATTTGATGATGTATAAAGCAAAAAATGCTTCAAAAATTATTTTTATTTGAATTTTTAGGTATTTTATTTCGTTTAATTTCTGCCACATTTATTTAATTTTTTTTTTCAATTTTTATTCAGCAAAAAAGTACTATTTATCCTTAAATATTTTAAATACTTTAAATTTAAGTAATCTTTGTTTTATTCAAAATATTTTAGGAGATTGTTAAATTCAACAATAAATAATAATTTCATATTTTTATTTATTTAAAAAATATTTAATTATTTATTTATCTAAATTTAAATATTTCTTTAATATTATATAATTAAATATCAATTTAGATGTAAAATATATAAATATATTTATGATAATCCTTAAAGCATAATTACATTTCCTTTAAAATTATTTTCTTACTATTTTCTAAAATATTTTTTAGTATAAAAATTTAATTTAATAAATTTTTATACTAAAAAAATTTTATTAAAAAATAAAAAAGATGACCTATTTCTTAAAATAACTTTTAATATAAAAATTTTAAGAAGCATAAGAAAACGGCCCCAAATAAAATCTTAATATAATCATTTAGCTCAGAACTTCTATTTGCTGGCTTTTCCATCTCAATCCAAATCCAAGGAAAGCTTCTCTCCGCTTCTCCGCACTCTTAGAACAATTCGCCTTCCATCCCCGATTCGCTCTTATATATAGGGTAAAGTAATCGAATATCAGAAAGAGAGAAACACACAGTAGAAGGGAGATCGATCGCCAACAATGGATTTCCGTAGTCTCAGTTTGGAAAACCCGCTCATCTCAACGCTGCATTATCTGGTAGATCTGCCGGAGGAATGGGAGAACTCCGTAAACTCCCCGATGAAATCATTCGTGCGCGACACACGGGCGATGGCTTCAACGCCGGCCGACGTCAAGGAGCTGCCGTCGGCCTACGAATTCGTGCTCGATGTGCCTGGTCTCAAATATAGCGACATCAATGTGGAGATCAAGGACGAAAACCTGCTCGTCATCACCGGTGAGCGCTTGCGGAATGACGAGAAGGACGAGGAAGAAGGAAAGTACCTTCGGATTGAACGCCGGATGGGGAAATTTATGCGCAAGTTCACCCTCCCGGATAACGTCAATGTCGAAGTCATCTCTGCAGTTTGCCGGGAGGGGGTTCTCACCGTTACCGTGGAGAAGCTTCCGCCGCCTGAGCAGAACAAGACCAAGAAGATCGAGGTCAAGATTGCCTAAATCCATGAGTTAATCTTAATTGTAGGGTTTGCTTTGCTATCGTCGTTTAAGCGTTTGTTGAGTTTTTGTTTGTTTGTCGTGAGATTGAATTACTGTTCTCTGATTTCAGTTCTGTTGCGTTCTGTTTTATCGATGAAGAACTTATCTTCGTCAGTTTGGTTTAATCTTTTCTATGCAAATAAGTGCAGATAAATACTGTACAAACCTTTTTTCATTTCTTCTGTATCGGCTACTCGCAGTTAATAAATTCTCTGATCCAAAGGGATCCAGAACTTCTTTATCTCTTCGCATCTGCACAGAAATTTTGCTTTCGATGATTTCTCTAAAATTCGGAATCTACGATATTTTGGGGGAGATGAAATGAAATCTCAATAATTTATTAAGCGCTTATGAATCTTGAAGCATTGATTTAAAAATGTCATTATTATTTTATATTTCTTAGCGTTTAATTATTGGGATACAAATTTTTTCATAGTGATGGTTGTATAATGATGTTAGTATTAGTATGTTATTAAGAAAAAAAAATACTATTTTGTTGGTGTATTTTATCAGATTTTTTAAAATTTTACTATTTGATTAAAGTTTGAAGAATTATTATAAGATCATTTAATTTTTTTTTTTGTTAAAATTATTAAGATTATGTTGTTTTACCAGTTGATTTGATGTTCAACGGTATTTTAATATGAGGAGAGTATGATTACTTTTCAGGTGATTTGCATTTTTTTCGCATTTTGAGTATTGAGTATCTTATGGTATTTATAACAAATAACAAATCCTCTAAGACGGGCGGAACAAGCTTTAATTTTTAGGAAGGGGCAAATTTATAAGTAAAAGTGTAGATATTTCGCAGATATGCTAGGGGTCCAAGGGGGTAGCGCCCCCTAGCAGGGTTCGACGTTCCCTAATAATAACACCTCTACACAATGTGTTTAATTATGTTGGGGACAATTGCCAAACTCACACATACGTCACATACACAAGTCGCGAATCCAAAATACCTTCTTTAGTAGTCACAACCAAAGCTCCCAACCAACAAACCAAGATGAGTTGCATGCTTTAGCCATTGTAACTCATTCAATTTATTATATTATTATAGCATAATTTGATCTAAATTTGTTGCATAAAAATAGGCTAGGCTTGATAAATGGCTCGCAAGTTGAGCTGGAAAGATTTGAGATAAGCTTGAGCCTATTTTTTTTGGAAATATTAATATAAAATGCACTTAATATATTAGCATTTATGATTTTAAGTTATAAAATTGTAAAAAAAAATTAGAAAATATTAAGTGAATTTATTATTATTATTTAATTTTTTTTATTTCTTTTAATAATTTTATTATAATAATTCTTTGAATTATAATAATTTTCTCTCTTTCATAATAAAAGAGCCACATCGAACTCGTAAAATAAAGATTGAGCTCAAATTGAATTTATTAATCAAGTTCAAACTTAAACCAAAGGTGGACAAGACTTCTCATTTAGACTCTTACATAAAAGTTTTTCAAATTATGCAGATTACGTAAATGTTCTAACATATCCACGCTCAATTTGCCATTATTTTTCCCCATTAAAATAAAATACTCTGCGCTACGAAGCTAATTTTGATGTACTGGTTAGGAGCTTTAGTTATCAACCAAGAAGTCTTAGGTTCAAAATTTGCATATGTAATGTATGTATGAATTTATCTTAAATTATCAACTAAAAGGTCTTTGAATATGTAGCTCACCTTGATCTTTAAAAGTCTTCTAAATTATCTGATCAATTGATAGTTACCGACCAATTGTAGATTATTATTAAAAATAAAATAAAATTTGAAGCATTCTTTTAGCTATATATATCTTTTTGGCCGTCTTTGTCAGCATTTAAGTGCCAAAGGCTCATTAAAATTGTAGCTCAATGATTGCTTAACTCTTTTGTTGCTAATGCCATTATCATATTTTGCATGAATTTATCCAAAAGCTTAATGATTATGACCATTATACAAAAATTTGTATGTCTTTAATGACTATGACCATTATAAAAAAATTGGTATGTCTTTGAGAGCTTTCATCTAGAAGTTGATAATACAGTTCTTGGCTACGCATTGAGAAGAGAAGATGCTTGTTGAGGAGTCCATAATTTTAGCAATCCATAGTTGTACGAAAAAAGATAGTCCTAATTATCTGAACAATATAGACCATCATTAAAGGAACTAGTCCTAAGATTGCTTGAGAATGAAGCCGAGTCTTTTCTTCTTGTTTACTCGCATGATTTATTTTTCTAATAATTACTTTCCTCTCTAACAAAACATCTGTAAGACGACCGTCATCATCTCTACAATCATCAATCATTTCTAGGTATTGTATGTGTTGCTCGGCATAAATATTTGATTCTTCAAGCTATTTGAGAATATTATACTCAACCCTCATAAAGTAGAGAAATCTTGCTGCATTTTGTAGAGAAAGATGCATGGCCAAAGGTTTTATAATGCTGAAGGTAATGTTAGAAAATTACAACACCTATGTAAGGCCATGCAATGTGACTTCATTATTATACATACTCCACCTTATCACAATACATCTTGGGTAGGTTGAGCCTCTACTCTTTATGTTCCATCATATCCAATTGATATGTATCTTATTTTTCATATTTCGAATGTCAGTTGTGTTATTTCGGCTTGATCTAATCCTATATGTGTTATCAAACATATATGATCCTTTTATACAAATTGTTAAGAGCTCCAAAATCTAAGATCAATATAAATAAAACAAAGTCTGCATCTCAGAAGAAGATTCTAATAAGTGGAAGCTTCGAATCAACACTTTGTGTTAGGTAAATTTCATTTCTCTTTCAACTCTTACAAACATAAAATATTTTCAGTTAGACTTTCATATCACAAGTTATCAAGGTAATGCCCACCCCTTTAATCAACTCTACTCCATGCCCAAAATGTTTATATTCTCTCCCAGATGTCAACATCATAGTTAAGTCTATGGTTATGACCATTAGCATAAAGAATGTAAAATGACTTATTAAATACTTATAGGCAACATAATCCTCTAAAAAAGGGGGAAATATAGCAGGATATGTTAATGACATCCTAAGCAAACGCATAAAGAAGGAAGATCACACCATTGACTAAACCAAAATTTTTCACTCTCTTTAATAAATATACCAAGAAGCTTAACCTTTATAAATGCATTGCTAGAGTAAAATTAGATAAATTCTTATGCTGCAGAGTGTCTTTTGAAGTACTTTATGGACTCATGATAAGTTGAAAAATAATTTTGAGAATAGTGAATAAAATAAATTATAATTAGTTATTGATTTGGAAATCATACTTCTATTTAAATAAAAGATAGAATTATAACTTGCATGAAAAAGAAAATTAAATTATTTAAAGTTTGTTGCGTCCAGGAGTATTCGCGGCGGTAGAGAAATATAAAGTTTATCGTCTTAGCGTTGTACGAAAATCCGGCACGCGATCAGATAAGAGAGAGGGTCTAGCATTTATGAGACACCAAGATTTTTACGTGGAAAACCCCTGTAAAAAGGGGGAAAAACCACGGGGCCTAGCCCAGTTTGAACGAATCCACTAGTATTTGCAGTCGATTACAAATGAGGCCCTTCCTTGGGAGAAGGCCTTAGCTTGATGTACATCTTATGGAGTACATTACATGATGTAAATATAAAGAGTCACTATCGACGTATTCGCTTTGTTAGAAGGACTGCAGTCGGCGGATCAAATACCGTAGTCGGCGTGCAGACGTAGGTCAGGAGGACCGTAATCAACTGCTGCGCACGGAGGACTGTATCGGCGGGCGACATAAGTTAGGACAGACGCGTATCCGGCGGGCCGCATGTCTTGGGGGAGGTCGGCAGAAGAAAATGTGTAGTTTCCTGCGCGGACGGCCGACATAAGTGCAGGAGCGTACAGTATTTACGGGCCAGACGGATGTTGGAAAAAGTACTTGTTACTGTCGGCGGGCGACGTAAGTCGGGAGGACCGTAGTCGGCTGGCGACGGAGGTCGGGAAAGACTGTAGTCGGCGGGCGACATAAAGTCAAGAGGACCGTATTCAACGGGGCGACGGATGTCGGGAAGGCTGTAGTCGGCGGGGCGTACAAAGCCCAGGAGGACTGTAGTCGGCTGGTAGTGACCGGAGGTCGAAAGGACTGTAGTCTGACGACAAAGATCAAAAAGCAAGCGCGGTCAGATAGAGTCCAGCAATGGAAAGAATTGCATCTTTCGCATAGACGTCCAGCGAAGTTCGATAACCGGTAGAAGTTCCGGCGTCGGGTAGAAACTTGGCGAAGAGTGAAGAATTCCCGACGTCGGTTAGAAAGTCCGACGTCTTTGGTGGCAGAGGAGAACTCCGGCTTCACTTGAGCGGAGTTTCGGCGTCAGGAGGGAACTCTCTTTGTAAATTGGAAGAATTTCAGCATCCCATGGAAGTTGGCGCAAATTCTGGCGTTCTCCGAATATCGAAACGTATGCCAGGAACAAGAGTTCTGGCGTCTTCAGGCGGCAGGAAGAGCTCTAGCGGTGGTCGAGGAGGTGAGGAATCTCCTTTTCCCCTTTCTCCTCTTCTTCTTTCTCTCTCTTCCCTCCCTTCTCTCCCTTGGTGTAGAGAATGAGGGCTCTATTTATAGTTTTTTGGAGTGGCATAGCCCGTAAATAGGCGGAGATCAGGGGCGAATTGGGAGTGTTTTGAATGGACGGTCGATATCGAATCCTTTGATCATGCACCGTTCAGTTGGGCATTGTGAAGCCTTAGTGATGTTGGAATTCAGTTGGATCTTGATTCAGCTCGTATGCGATTTCTCTCGTCCGTTGGATTCGTTCGTCGAGCCGTTCGATTCGAGTATAGCTCGTCAAAATCGGAGACCGTTTGGTAACTCAAATTGCGGTTTGACCCTTCCAACAGCAGCTTTGAGCCCTTTGATTTCAGACTCATTTTGGGCTCGATTGGGTTGATCTTGGTGCCGTTGGTTTGTATTTCCGAGACGCTCAGTTTGACTGTAAGCTCGCTGAAATCGGAGTTCGGGTCTGTCTCCCAAAATTAATTTTTGAAGTTTCCAAACTAGCTTTTGCCTCCGAGATTCGTGCCCTAATGTAGATAATTTTTGGGGTATGTATCCAAAGTTTATGATAAATTTTTACAAATTTTAATGCATAAAATTTTAGGGAAATGTACATACAACTAAATTTTATTGTTTTGCTACAAACAAAACAAATTAAATTTTGATAAATCTAGATATTGTGTAGAAACTTAAGATAAATTTTAGC